GGTTGGAGGGGAGTTTGTTTTTTTGGGTTGGGGCCTGGGGCAGCAGGAATCTAATCTGCTTTGTCCACAAGCACAAGGGAAGGCGTGTCCTTGGAGAAGGAAAGTGCAAATGATTTCACTGAGTTTTCAGCAAACAGCCAGGGCAGCCTCGGGAGGGCCGGGTGGCAGGGCCCGAGGACACCGGGGGACAGGCTGTGAGACTGTGATGGGCGACACAGAGGCCGGCAGATCGGGCCCCCCCCAGGCAGGGGCAGTCCTGCCTGTGGACTCCATTCGGAAATGAATTAAGTAGTTCGGTGTGAGTTTAACAACAAACGGAGAAGTCGCGGGTAAACACGGGCAGCCTGATACGTTTATTCCTCTCGCCGTTCCCGTGTATTTCTACAGAGGAAATGCGGGTAGCGGCTTGAGAGCTGTTGCTTTCGTGTTGGAAGGGCAGAGCGCCCCGAAAACACACCCTGAAATAACAAAAGCGCGTGCGTTCCCGACAGGTGGCCGTGAAGATGCTGGAAAACACCCTGACCGCCCAGCCGGCCGTGCCGTGGCAGAAGCTGCACTTCCTGCTCGGGGAGGTGGTGTACGGGGGCCAGGTGACCGACCCCTGGGACCAGCGCTGCCTCAACACCCTGCTCTACAGGTTCTGTAACCCTGACGTGCTGACATGCGACTTCAGCTTCTTCAGTGAGGAGGTGAGAAAGGAAGTTATTGTCTTACTAGAGGCCTGGTGCACGGAATTCGTGCCCTCGGGGTGGGGTCCCTCGGCCTGGCCTACGCCCTCTTGCAGTCCGGGAGCTGTCAGCCACCGCCGCTGCGCTCGCCAACTATGAACCCAGCTTCTGGCTGAGCGGCGCTCCCCCTGTGGGAGCGCACTGACCACCAGGGGGCAGCTCTTGCATTGAGCGTCTGCCCCCTGGTGGTCAGTGTGCGTCATAGCGACCAGTCGTTCTGCCGTTGGGTCGATTTGCATATTAGCCTTTTATTATATAGGGTATGACTTGATTGTGTGTTTTTAAGAATGAAATCTTGCCATTTTTTAATTTTTTTTATGAGAGAGTAGAAGGGAGGGGGAGAGACAGAGAGAGAGAAACATCGATGTGAGAGAGACACATCAGTTGGTTGCCTCCCACACACACCCCGACCAGGCCAGGGATCCAGCCTGCAACTGAGGTCGGTGCCCTTGACCGGAATCGAACCCAGAACCCTTCAGTCCAACGGCCAGTGCTCTCATTCGCTGAGCCAGCATGGCTGGGGCTGACTGGATTGTCTTTAACTAAATTATTGCCAAAGTATTTACAATCCGCACTTAAATTAACGTCAGTGTCCACTTTTAGTGGCTGTTCTGAACTAGTGTCACAAAACCATGTGGCTGTGACCCTGATAATTACCTGTTGGTCGGCGGCCGCGGCTCTCACCGCGCCCCTCACAGTCCCTGGTCCCAGTGCAGGAAGCGGAGGGCGCAGCCGGCGGACAGGAAGCCGGAGCGTCGTTTCCCCTGGAAGAGCCCGCTGTCTGTTGCTTTACTCGGTTATTTCACACCCAGAAGTTTTGTGCCCCTTGGCCACGTTCACCCATCCCTGGATGGTCAATTGTTCTTAAGATCACCCTCCCAGCCCAGGCCAGTTATCTCAGTGGTTAGGACATGGGCCCGAGGACCACAGGGTCTCAGGTTCGATTCCCAGTCCAGGGCATGTACCTGGGTTGCAGGTTGGATCCCCAGCTCTGGCCGGGGCTGAGTGTAGGAGGCATCCAGTCGATGTGTCTCTCTCATATTAGTGTCTCGACGTCTCCCTCTCTCTCTTCGTCCCTCTCTTAGCCCCCTCCCTCCTTCCATCCCTCCCACTCTCTCTAAAAACCAATGGAGAAATGTCCTTGGGTGAGGACGTTATAAAACATGTCACTCTCCCATTGCCCCGTAGGTGTTACCACCGTGAGTGATGTGTGGAAGCCCGATTGCACGCATCACCCATGGGTGTCGTTTCTTGAGGCAGCGGGTGATCGGCGTCGCCCTTTACGTCCTTTCCCCTCTCCCCCTTGCACACTTCCCCGCGAGAACGTTCTGTGTGCGTATCACGCAATGACACTTGGTGACGCGTCGGTCCCAGGTGTAGCTTGGGCGGAAGGGTCTAGAACAGTGGTTCTCAACCTTCTGGCCCTTTAAATACAGTTCCTCATGTTGTGACCCAACCATAAAATTATTTTCGTTGCTACTTCATCACTGTCATGTTGCTACTGTGATGAATCGTCATGTAAATATCTGATA